ATTGCTACCTAATCCTATTTTTGTGTCGGAATCTTCAGCAGAAGTGCCGCTCCAAACTTTGCTTAATGTAACAGCTAAAAGCTTATTAGCATTAAACAAAATTAATTGCAGTATGAAAATTTTATTAGAATGTAAATGGGGTTTTGATGGCAGCTCAACTCATAGTACTTATAAACAAACATTTCCTAATGAAAACGCTACCGATGAGTTCATGTTCATTGTGGGGTTCGTTCCACTTAAAATGACAAATAATATCAACAATGATCTCGTATGGGAAAATAAAACTCCTTCTTCAATAATGTACTGCCGGCCAATAAAATTTATATTCATGAAAGAAAATCGAAATTTAATACAATCTACAGAAAAACATTTGTCTCAGCAAATCGACAAACTTGAACCATATTATTTCAAAATTGACAACTTTGATGTTGAAGTTCATTTCAAAATGTATTTAACAATGATTGATGGAGCAGTCGTAAATGTATTAACTGAAAATAGATCTTGTAGTACTTGTTATCTTTGCAATGCCACCCCTGCAAAAATGAATATTTTAACTGCAATTACAAGCCCACCAAATGAATTAAATCTTCAGTATGGATTATCAACGTTGCATGCCTGGATAAGAAGTTTTGAGTGTGTATTAAAAATTGCTTATAGAATACCTTTAGGGTGCTGGAGAGTTACTACTGATGAAGCAAAAGAAATTTTTAATAAAAATAAAAAAGAAATTCAATTAGAATTACGAAATAGAATGGGATTAATTGTAGATAGAGTCAAAACAGGCTACGGAACATCAAATGATGGAAACACAGCTAAAAAATTTTTCTCTAAATTTGAATTAGCTTCTAGTATTACTGGAGTTAACACAGAGTTTATAAAAAATTTGTACATAATTTTATGCATTTTATCAAGTGGTAAAACCATAAATTTGTTAACATTTAAAGATCTTCTACAAAAAACTCAGGAAATTTATATAGTACATTACTCATGGTACAATATGCCAGCAACTTTACATAAAATACTGATTCATGGATGTGAAGTTATACAACATTTCAATATACCAATTGGCCTTCTATCCGAAGATGCAATAGAAGCAAGTCATTAAGAATTTCGAAAACACCGATTAAACCACACTAGAAAATTATCAAGAGTTTCATCGAATAAAGATCTTTTAAATCATTTATTATTAGCTTCGGAACCACTTATATCTTCGCAAAGGAAACAAATGCGAAGGAAATCACATGCCTATGATGACATGGCGGAATATTTGATTGAAGAGAGCGTAGATTGCTCCGGTTCCGAATTTGATATAGAAAATATTACATTCAGTGACACCTCTGATGAAAGCGAATAAAGTAATTGAAATACGTGTAATGTATATGCGTTAGTTATAATGGCAATGCATACAATTAATATAATAATAAGTGGTTCTATATTTAAATGTGCAGTGTATACAAAAATACACTAATTGTTTCCAAGCGCATTGCATTGTTTACAAACAAATGCACAATTCCACACAAGGAATTTGACACCACACATATCGGCGGCACTTTGCCTTCGATATAACCATATGCTTGCCAGGCATTGACCGCATATACAACAACATCAACAGTAAGCGTACTCGATACAAGTGGAATCGAATACGCTTACTTAGCAATAAATTATTAAATATTAAAGTACTTACGCTGCGTCGTTTTGTACATAAATATAAATAAATATTAATATAAATAATATTAAATACATATATAATCATAAAATATTTAGTAAATAAGAAAGTACATACGCTGCGTCGTTATGTACCTAGGTTAAGTTGAAAGTAAAAAACTAAATAAAAATCAGAACCAGAAGTGCACTCATAAGAAGCGCACTAGGTTCCAAACAGCAAAACTTACTTGAGTTTTTAATAAATACCAATTAATGTTAGCTAAAGGATCGCCAAGCAATATCGGCGTCTAAATATCCTTAGCGAAAATACTCATCAATAATTGGCGTATATTACATACGAGTATATGATATATGTATATATTATGAAAACTCATGAAACTTGTTATAAGTAATATATTATTTGAAACAACTCTTTTTTATACGCTTTATATTTGTAAGTAGTTGGTTTAGAAGAAGGAATTTTATGCTAATTTTTCAGATACTTTTTTATAAATATTATTTTTGCATTAAATTTCAGTAAAACTAAAAATGGGACCACGCCCATTTTTTAGAAATATGTTAACATTTTAAAAACATTTATTTGTCTAAAATTTCATTGAAATTGAATCCAATTTGTGCATTTTGATCATTCACTTTGTATGACATGTGGGCGTAAGAATGGGCGGATCACGCCCATTTTTCAGAAATATTGTCATATTATAAAAACACATATTCCTGCAAAATTTCATTGAAATTGTATCCAATTTGCGCATTTTGATCATTCACTTTGTATGGCAGGTGGGCGTAAAAATAGGCGGACCATGCCCATTTTTCAGAAACTTTTTATTATCCTTAATATAAGTCTTTATGCAAAATTTCATGAAAATAGCATAACATTTACTATTTTTGTCCGCTTGTTATATGAACACGTTACACTGTGCGTCCTAACAAATAAATTTATTTTAGGACTGGACCTGGAATCCGGCGAGCACGACTTCGGCCAGAAAGTTTCGTTACAATATTATTTACTAACAGTAAATAATAAAAGTCGCGTGTGTTTTTGATGTAGACACTTGGATTTATAGGATCAGTTATTGAAACGCATTTGGTGAGTAAAGGTGATGTTTTTTCTCAAAATAGAGTGCAACTCAAAAAGAGTGCTTATAGAATAATAAATGACTGTGTAAACGAATTATTAAAGAAAAAATAAGGTGTTAAGCCAACTTGGCATCATAATGCTTTTTTTTGTATATTATTATCGAATATTTTATTTTTAAAGTTGTAACGACCACTTTTCAGTTGTTTTGTTTTCCTGAGGTAGCAAAGCGGCTGTCCAGGTCCGTTGCAATAAAATTTATGTTCGCTGAGACCAAACAAAAAAAAGGCGTAGATTTGATATATTTTATTAATGCTTTATTTAATGATTCAAAACAAAATAATTATAATAGTTATAATTTAGATAAAAAACTTTGGTACGTTGACAAAAAAAATATTATTTTCCAAAGATCGGAGAAATTTATGATTTCCGCGCGTTACTATTTCTTAGGGGTGGACTTATGTCACCTCAGTATATGAATTATATAAAAGATCACCTGCTGTCAAAGATGACGATGTTTCAGCGACTGGCTCTGGCTTATCCGTTAAGAAGACTCCTGCCTTGTGCTAAGGGATATAATAGTTTGGCTGAATGAGCCAGATTAGAAAATAAATGTAAAAAAGAAAAAAAACAATAAAAACAAATGATCAAATAGACCAGTAGGATATCCTGACTTGATCGATCGGACCAGTTTAGGCTGATTAAGCCTGTAAGCTAATATTGATCGAATTGACCAGTTTTTATCCTGATTTGATCGAACTGACCAGTTTAGGCTGATTAAGCCTGTAAACTAATATTGATCGAATTGACCAGTTGGTTATCCTGATTTGATCAAACTGACCAGTTTAGGCTACTTAAGCCTGTAAGAATATTGATCGAATTGACCTGTAGCGTGCATAAGCATACACTATGTGAGTAAATAAGTATGCTGATATTTATTGTAACTTTATTGCATTCTTGCAATATGAGCCCCTACCGTCCGTTTGACGATAGTGTTTGGGCTGGCGTGTGAAGACGCCAATTCAGCAAATTCTCACAGTATGCTAATGCACACTGCTCCTCCAAATATGAACTTTGTAAAAACATATTTTTAATGAATAAAGTGAGTCTTAAAAGAGAAAACGGTTTTTAAATTACTACATGGCGACCGTGACATGTTTTAATAATAATAAATTATTATTAATAAATTAATAAATTATATTAAATTAATTGTGCACACATGATGACGAGTATGTGACTTCTAATCGCTAAAGCTATATAAATAACAATTTTGTTTTGATGGAAAATGGAAAATACGGGAAATATAGTGAAATTTACTTATCGTTGGTTATCCTGATTTGATGAAACTGACCAGTTTAGGCTACTTAAGCCTATAAGCTAATATTGATCGAATTGACCAGTTGGTTATCCTGATTTGATCGAATTGAACAGTTTAGTCTGAATAAGCCTGTAAGTTAATATTGATCGAATTGACCAGTTGAACTTGTTTATCGTTTGATATCCAAGAGACAAGTTGCTCGTTCTGTGAAATTCGCGTTCTTATATACTTGTTTGACCGGAGCTTTTCGGTGTAGCGTACCGGTAAACTTCGTTGTTCGTGTTAACTTTTGTGCTTTTTGTGAGCCTTTCTTGTGTATTTTGTGTATTGTCGTGTACTTCGTGTTATTTGCATTTTTGCGCACTTTGTTTTTTTCGCCTGCCTTTGTTTTCGCCGCGATTACGTTTTGTTCACTTCGCGTTACAATTCTTTTCTTTTAAACAAAATATGATTCAAAGAAAAATATATTTATAATTAAAATAAATATTAAGACAATATGTGCCAAAATATAAGTGAGTGATTTAATAAATGTGGTAACAGAATTTTAACGCTGCTGCGTAAAATCAGTGCCGGTGTAATTGGAATTGTAGCTTGTTTTCTCCGTCTGTGGCTTGTTTATGTTTGGTTATAGAAAAATATATTTTTAATTAATACAGTGTTTATCCATAAAAGAAAGATAACCCAACCAAAGTATTTATAGCAGAAGTGGTTTTTTTCGATGTGTTATATTTTACGTTTTATTGGTTTTTTCTTTCTCTATTTTGTTTTTATGTTGTAAAAAAAAATGTAAACAATGAGTGTTTTTCAATGTTGGTAATTTATTTCTTGAAATTAATGTTTATTAATTCAATATATAAAATGTGTTTTATTGTTTAATAAATGTTTCATGTATGTCTTATGTTATAATTTGTAAATAAAAATTCATTTGTTTTATTTCTTAACATATTTCAATTTGTTTTTTAGTTTTATTACTTTTCTTTTATTTTCTTCAGGTCAAGTCATGCCCTCGGCTTATTGACGCATGGACTGCAGGTAATGTCGTTGCACACTGATCTTGATAATATTTGAATAACTCTTATTCTTTCTAGGTTGGGCACAGAATTTTGTTGAGGGTGAGTTTACTTCTGGTGTTGTCCGAAATGGTGTTGGTGTTATGTTTTCTACTGACGGACTGACGTCAGATTTGTATACAAGCATATGTATGGTTGAAACTACTTTGTAGCAATTTCAATCTTTACAAAGTAGAGAAAAATCAATTGTAACAAATGTTTTGTATCATGATAGAAAAGTCAATTGTAACAATTGTATTTTTTTTAAGAACATGCTTTTACTTTATTGTTGCGATTCTTTTTATACTTGCAAAAAAAACAACTGTTCGTGCGCTCACGTGCATAACCAAATATCAGTTGTTGATTTTTAATTTCTTTTCAATTTAACAAACCCATCGAAACGTGGGTAAAAAAAAGAGGTGAGGGGTGCAAGTGCTCAGTGTACCAGTTTGGTCATAAACTAGGAATACCTTTGAACTCACTCTTTTTTACAGAAGGAAAGGAAGAATTTAATTTAACAAATGTTGAAGTTTACACTGCAGATAATTTAAATATTCCACATGCAGATATTTGTGAATATATTGGACAATATAAAAATGACAGCAATTTCGTCATTTATATCAATTGTATGTAATATTCGTTTATATGTATTTGTGTATTTGTGTGTTTGTGTATTTGATTAGGAAATTTTTATTTCTGTGTACCGCATGGTAACAGTGCATGCAATTTTTGGGACATAGTTAGATATTAGCATAGATGCTAATATTTCTCTATCAAAATTGCCACAATGTATCAACCACATTGTTGCATAAAAATTGGTCACATCATAAACTTTAATAAAAATTCGTTATATTTTAAAACATAAATAAACATAAATGAAACTCCTAAACGACCACACAGAATTCTTTGAAAATTCCACTTATCCCAAACATTGTAAAAACGTTACACGTTTTTTACATTAAAAATTGTTACAAAGTAACAACCCCTTTCTTAAAAGTGCATTTCCACTATGTACTTAGTAGGCTTCATTTACTGAGTAATAGTACATTCACACTATCTCATTTAGGCGGTTTTGCTCATTATAATCACTAATGAGCATGATTTACCATACAAAGAGCTTTCATATAAATGTGCTGATTTACAATAAATCAGCTCATTTTAGACCAAAATTGTCGAATGCAACCCTTTAAAAAAAATTTTCCAGAAGGGAAATGACCAAAATTTGAAGTATCTGTCATATATTTTTAAATATAAAATGTAAACAAACAACAATTGAGCTGTAAACAAGTACACTGAGAAAGTAGTATTAAATACAATCTGTTTTTATTAATTGAATATATAATTAATATATAACATGTATATAAATGATTTAATATATCAATGAAATATTTAATTTTTTAGTGAGATATATTCTTAAGTGAAGTTTGTTTATTTCAGATGGATTCATGTCAATGGCAAAAAGAAGTACGTACTAGTATTTAATAAAATTTTTTGTTTTCATGAATTAAATAGGCAATACAAATTTAAATAGTTGATTTTAGATTCATTTAATTAAATATTATTTTCAGGCACAGAAAATGAAGAGAAGGAGAAATGCTTGGTCGGAAAATGCCGAGAGGCACTTTTTGGAAATATGGGAGGAAAGACTGCCACAATTACGGGGCGCCCGACGGAACGCACATATTTTCAATGAGATGGCCACAAAACTTCAGAATAGGGGTTTTCTGGTCACTTCGTTAGAAGTGCAAACGAAGGTCCACAACTTTACACAAAGATAGGTAAGTATTTCATAAGTGAAATTGAAAATTACAATAATAATTTGTGCATTGAAACTGTTTTGTTTTTTATTATATTATGTAATTTTATATAAAAAAAGAGATTTAAATGTAATTTTGTTAATTTTTCTATTTATTTTTATTAATTTGCTTGTTTGTTTATTTTAAATCAGGAAAGAACAGCAGTGTGTTGGAGTTTCGGGAGGGGCGCCATCCGACTGGAAGTACTTTCATATATTGAAAAGATTCCTAGGCAATTTGCCCATACATAACACTACAAATTTAGGGTTTGAAAGTATTGCAGGTGAGTTTTCACAAATTTGTTTAAATTTTTCAAAATAATGAATGTGTTTATTTATCAGACCAGGGCCCGTCATCAAATGAGACATCGTTGCTGTCGCAATGCTCTTCTCCACCGATAGACCCAATATCTACGTCGGAAGATTCTGAAACACCTGCAAAAAAAAAAAAAAATAAAGGCAATTTGAATGACACCCTTTTGGAAAAATTTCAGAATCTAATAGATGTAGAGAACCGTCACATCGAGCTGCAGGAACGCACAGACGCAAGGTTCCTGAATTTAATGGAAGAAAGCAATGTTGCTTTATCCCGTATAGCGTCATCAATGGAAAGAGGTTTTTCATATACTCGGCTCACTAGTTACGATGACTCCAGCGATGAATAGCGATAATTATTTATTAATAATATAACATAATTTATAATTATTGTTATTTGTTATTATTGTTATTATTGTTTTTATTTTTGTAAATGTATAGGATAATTAGATTAAGTTATTTAGTGCTACAAAGTTAAAAATTAGGATTAGGTGAATTTCTAATAAAACTTACTAAAAAATGTAGCTAAACATCGTCTTATTTGTTCTGCATTTAGATCGCCGTCATTTAATACTGAAACTTCTTCTGGTTGTTGTCGTTCTGAAACCAGATGTTGTTTTTTCAGAGCACGTACCCAACTTTTTTCCACTACATCATTTTTTTCATTTAAAAAGTTGTGAAGAACACAGCAGGATCGTATTATGCTGTTCACGTTTTCGATTTTGTTGTCAATGCCCTTCCCTATTCTGCGAAACCTTGCCTTAAGCTGTCCAAAGTCATTTTCAACCACTCTTCGACATTTAGATAATTGGTAGTTAAAAGTTTTTTGACCAATGCTAGCGTTTTCATCATAAGGGTATGGTTTCATAACTTTGGTGGAAAATCGAAATGCAGAATCACCTAGGATCAATACGGGTATTTTGACACCATTAATCACCCTATTTTTGTGTTCTAAAGCAATACAATTTTCTAACTGGCTTTTAAGTGATGAATTTTCAAAAATAAAAGAGGCATTGACTCTTCCAGGATACCCAAAAGTTCTAAAAGCTGTATAAATGAGCTCATTATTATGTGAACGGTTCCTCATTTATATAAATGAGCAAGTGCCTAAATGAGATAGTGCGAATCTGGTATAAATTGCATTTGCCATACAAAGAGCTTCCGTGCTTTCTCATTTACTATAGAATACAGTAAGCAAAATTCGACCAAAATTATACCAAATATGACGAATGCAACATTGGAAATGATCGCAATTTGACATATTTGACATATGAAGCAAAATGTAAACATAAACAAACACTTAAAATTCAAAACTAACAACAGGTAAGAATTTTTTTAAACATTTTTCTTTTATAAATAAAATATATAAAAATAAGTTTATTTACCAAATATATATTTGATATAATATATATTTGATATATATTTGATATATTAATTAATAAAAAATATTTATTTTAGATTAATATCAGGAATAATATCAAAATCAAAATGGCTGAGAATTCACAAGTTAGTATTGTGCAGTTATAAATGGTATGTAATTAAAAAATAAATTATTATTAATTTTAGGTAAAGACAAATAAAAGATCCCGGAATGCCTGGACTGATGGCGGCGAACTCTTGCTGATTGAATTGTGGGAGGAGAATATATCTCAATTGCGGGGCCGCCGGCGATATAGCCATATATTTAAAAATATGGCGACGGAATTATGTAAAAGGGGTTACACGGTAACCGCTGTAGAAATGCAGAGAAAGGTGCACAACTTCACCCAACGCTTTAGGTGAGTGTTAAGTTAATAAGTAAAATTTCTATTTTTTATATCATTAATTATTTGTAATTAAAATAAAGCCACGTAATCGTTTACGCGGAAGTAATATTAGATGTTTTATTTAATAGTTCATTTCGTTAACTATATTTTTAATAATGTGTAATATATGTCATTAAATATTACGCTAAGTTACATCTTTTATGTTGAAACAGAAAGGAGCAGCAAAGTGTTGACGTGTCCGGAGGGTCCCATCAACTTGGAGGTATTTTGAAAGAATTAATAGGATTTTGGGAATTTTGCCACTGTACAACATTACTGGGCTAATTTCAAATAGTTTTGAAAGTACGTTTATATATATTTTTTTTGAATTCGTAAAATAAAGTAATTTATTTTTAATTAGACCAGCAACCAGCACCATCCACTTAATAAAAATAAAAATAAAAATAAAAAACAGTTTCATAGCTGACATTTCAAAATTATTTAGTTGTTTGGGTTTATACCTTGTTATGTTCTTGTCTGTACTTGTATTTTTTTTTTGTCTGTTTTTGTTTTTGCTTTGTCTTTGGTAAATTTTGAAATGTCGAGACGGTTATACCAAAGACAAAAGAAATATAAAGATGGTTCACTTCCATACATTTGCTTGTATTATGCAAAATTTTGTAGTGGACGCACGGCACGTCCCCATAAAATTTAAGAGAGCTGCGAAATGCTTTTTTCGAATGAAAAAGTTTGCTCTTATGTTTTCAATGTTTTTACTCTCTCCTTATGTTTTTCAATGCGTTGACTATTGACAGATGTATATTTATGTGATTGTATTAACGAACACAATGCAAGTGCATTTATTTGTTTTTGGCATTAATAAAAATTGCATATGAAAATAAGCATTGCAATTACGAATTAATATTCCTATTAAATTATTTTAACTCCTGTGTGGACTTTTTGAAGTTCACTATTTTTTACTTTATTTTATTATTATTATTGCTATATTATGTTAAATATAATATAATATATAGTTTAATAATTAGAGATATTTGATTTTATGTGACTTTAAAATATGATATCAAATTATATTTATATTTATATAACTCAATTTACATAACTATGTATGATTAGACAGAACCATTATTTCACATATAAGCATAATTAATTTGTAATTAAAATGTGAAACATCTCGCCAAAGACAAAATAACTTATTTAATTGTCTTATAATGACATATTCTGTTCTGTTTGCCGCCACTCGGCAAACACAACGGTAAATCTTTTGAAAACAAAAAAAACGTTACACAAATTTAGTCTCGTTTTTGTTAGTTTATTTTCAAATTCAGTGGATTAAAAACACGCGTGTTTCACCTGAATTGAGAATTTAAACTTTTTCATATAACTAAGTGTAAATAAAAGCAATTACAAATTGTAGAATAGTGTGAAAATTAAGAAACTATTAATATTCAAAATAATTTTGTTATTTCGTTTGTTCTAACATATTCATTAAATTCAATCGCGACTATGGAAAAGATTAAAAAAAGAGGTAATAGATGCTCATTGCCTCATTGTCGTAAATCACAACGATATACTCCCGGCTTAAGGATGTTCAAGTTTCCAGAATTTGATACCCCTTTATTTAAGGAATGGGAGAAAAAATGCATTTGAAACGAGGAATTTGTATCAAATTCTGCACAATTACATATCTGCGAAATGCACTTTTCTCCCAATTTAATTGGAAAAAAATATTTAAAGCGCGGATCTGTTCCAAATATAAATTAGGGATTGTCAGATGTGCATGTAACAAATGAAGAATGTGTAGAATTAGAAGACGTAGATTTGACTACGTTAAGATCGCCACAACACAAAAGAAAAAGATCTGAATCTCCAGAATCAGTTTGTAATAATTGCAAAAAAAATTTGAAAAATATGGAGTTTTATAGAAAAAAATATTTCTCAATAAAAAATCAACCAAAAAATAAAGTAAAAAATATGCAATATTTAAAAAAAAGAAATATAATCCTACAAAAGACAGTTTCGAAACTAAAAAACAAAATAAAAGTGGTTACCATTTCGAAGTTGATTGATAAATTAGATGTGAGTGAAAATGATAAAGTTTTTTCCAAGATGCTTCTCAAAACTAGGAGATGTACTAACGCTTCCTGGAGTCCGGTTGGTTACCGGACGAAACGCGTCAATGGAAACCATTGACTGTAGGTTACTTTGTTGGTTATACCAATATATAGAATTTCTATCATAAGACTGACTATTTGAAAGACTGTTTTTCAAAATTTGAACAGAGACATAGGTTTTTTTCAATTTATTTTATTATTTTTCAATTTACTATTTTCAGTATTCCTTAATATGTTTTCATTTTTTTAATATTTTAATATTTTAATATGTTTTGATATATTATTGTTTAATATATATTTTTCAATATTTTTCATTATTACACTAATTATGTATTTACACCATACAGTTTTGTTCTATTAGCTTAGGATATATAACCATTGTTCCGGTGTTGTTTGGTGTCATATGCTGGCATTCGGGTATATGATATCAAATGCGCTGCTGACTTTGTGGTGCCGCATATGTGCGTATATGTATGTATATGTATATGTGTGGGAACGTATATATCGTTATGATATGTATTAAAACCACTTTGTAATTGTCAATTATATACAATTTGTGACGTTTTATCATATGTATGTGTTTATGCGGCATATACATGTAGTTTGTACGTTATAAGATGTGTGTATGACGACTCTATAGAAATTGATTTGTTATTTTCAAATAGATTATGTGTTGAGGTAGGATAAAAACTTCATCATGTATTTATGGTGTATCATTGATGGGGTACTAAGAGATTAGTTTGTTTAATTGGCCTAGGTTACGGTTGACACCGTTTATTCAAGGTACCTTAGCATATATGTGATTGATGTTCTGGCCTATGATCACCCAATATCGCGGGGTCAGGGGATTAATCATGTAATGTTGTTATTGTATTTTTGATACGCAATTAGTTTTAATTATTCACCTTAAGGTTTATTTATTTAACTTCTTATATGAAGTATTAAAGTTTATTTTATTATATATACTAATGCAACGTATATACGTGTGTATACGTCGGCATGAAATTTATTTTATATGTAATATTTTAGGTAAATGGTCGACACCACGACATATATAGAAGCAATAGCTGATATATATTTTGATATGTAAGGTTTATTGTGATATCCAGGAAGATAAGTTTTATTATATGTTATATGTGATGAAGGTTATGTTGGTGGATGATATACAGTGTGTGTTTTGGGAGGAGTGGAGTATTTGGTGGAATAATCCTTGATTAATGGTTGACACCATGAAATGGGATTTGTCGACTGGATGTTCTATTTGTCTCTTTATATGCTTTGTATTTAGAATCATAGTAGGCTTTACATTAGGGATTGTATAGTTTTATAACATTTATAACATTATATTATAGTTGTTAAGTATTTTTATAGATTGATGATTGTTGTTTAGCTTAGCAGATGAATTCTCTATTATTGGTCGACACCAAGAGAGATGAATATTTGTTGCGCTATTCGATGATTATTAGTGCTTATGAGGGATTAGATTTTTTTTTTTTTTTTGTAGCATTGTTTTTGATAATTATATTAGATGAGTTTTTTTGAAGATATATAATGTGTTGAATGGTGTTGAGTGCTTGATGGGGGATTCTGTTTGTATAGTTGACACTATATATGGAAATTCTTCCTATCTTGTATCTTGATAGTTGTTTGGCATATTAATTAATTATTATTTTTTAAGTATTATGTATATTGGATAGGTTTACATTAGATGAAAACTGTTTGTGTTGTACAGGATGTGTTATGGAATTACGGTCGATACCGTATGAGTAATATTGATTGTATGATGCTGCTGTTGTTATCTGATATTAATATTTTTAAAGTAATTTTTTTAAATAATCTAATAATTTTAATATTTTAATCTTTAATAATTTTAATGATTTTAATTATTTAATGTTTATAATAATTTTTGATAATTTAATATTTTATATAGGTTATTTTAATTTCTATATTTATTTTTATTTTTATTTTATTTATTATCAAATAATTTAATATTTCATTTATTATACCTTATTTTAATATTAGATATTTATTTGAAGTATTTAATAATACTCAATAGTATTTATTGATATATCTCTTTTTGATTTATATTTGATTATATAACACATCTTTTAATTCTATTTAATAAAATAAATAAAACAGTTTCATGACTGACATTTCAGAAATTACGTAGTTGATTGGGTTATACCCTGTTTGTTCATGTCTGTATTTGTATGTTTTTTTTGTCTGTTTTTGTTTCTGTTTTGTTTTTGTAAATTCTGAAATGTCGAGACGGTTATGCTGTTTGTGATTTCTTTAACGACCTTTTAGTTGTTTATTGGTTCTTGTTGTGTGCGCATGCCAATGCGTGTAATGTGATGTGTTTTGTTTTTCTATTAA